TTGGGTGAATACATATCATATTACTGATTTACTGGTAGTCACGAAAACAATACTTAATTCGAAAAATAAATAACTTCTGTCTCACGATATTTCAAAGGTCTTTATGTTTGGGTGCGTACGCGCTCGTGTATGCTTGCATCTGTAGTTTCGTAAATCAGGTTGCAAAATCACGACTCAGAACTCTGAATATTTGCAACCGATCCCACCTAAGGAAACCATGAATTAGAATGCGTCATCCCGAACCTATGCCTGGTTGAGTTCATTAGTTTAATAGCAAACTCATAATTGGACCGGCCATTTAGGTCGACTTGTTCTAGATACGGAGAGTAGCTGGATTTCGATAAATCTTTTGATATAAACTTTTTGTGTACCTCTCATTTCCTATAAGAGTTGTTGATGAAGAGGCTCGTTGGTTGATCTCACCGAAAGACGAAGACCGATCCCCATTTTGCAACCGTGCTTGAGTTTACTACTACGTTTAGCTTGACACAATTTATGAAACATGCTTTCTCGTTTCGGGGTAAGCCGGGCTAAGCTTTAAACGGTCACATGACGGATATCCTCAGAGCTTGAGCTCATTTCTGCAAAAGCTTCAAGTTAATACTATGTCATAAACACTTCGAATCCATACTTCATGCTATATATACTCATAAATAAAAAAAACTATTTATATATAAATGGATATAAAATGATTTGGTTGGTTCTCTTTTAAATGAATCAGGACACTTATACTTGAGCATGTATATGTGTGCTAACATCTGTACTATTACTAAGAGTAATTAGAAAATATCAACAAATTGAAGAGCCTTCTTGTCTTAGTGTTGATTTTAAGCTTTTTCAAGATTAAGTTCCAGCTTTTACGGTATTTTTTGAGCGGCATGACGGACTAAAGCTTATCCCAGCTTCCCTCGAAATTGGGAAGGATGTCTCTTGGACTTCATCAATCTGAATGTTGTGATAAAGCCAAACGGCTACAGAACAATGTGATTCATCCGTCGTTTTCTGGTGAGTTCAACCAACTAATCCCCTTGGTCATATTGGCAGGGAGATATAGAGGAACAAACCTTGTCCGGAGTACATAGTAGTCATAATAATTTCCAGTCTGATCTCGGACTTGGTACATTCCTAGACGTTTCGTTAGCATCGTAGTCGACATCGTCAGAGAGCCTTGTCATTCTTAGCACCACACCACAACTCGTCAAAGAGACAATTGAAGCCGATCCTTTGACCAACTGTGTGTCAAACACCTTTCCCATATCCGCATATCACCTCTTCAAAATAACAATTTCTTACTTGTTTATCTAGACCTATTTAAAATCTATTCACACTCCCCGCTGGTTTCCTCATCCCTTCGAATGTGCCAGGAGTGTTGATACAAGGCTGCGGTTTAATCTGCAATTCTCTTTCTTCGGGTCTTATCAAAGTCCTCTCTTGCTCCGCAGGATCCTCTTTCAGTAATTTAACTTCATCTCTGCAACCGTATCTGTGCTACTCGAGGCGTTGTTCTACATTCTGCCTCAATGCAGCCTTTCTTAGCACGTATACACCAGCCTCACTGAGAAAGCCCCTAAACTCTA